CGTGGCCATCCCGGGAGTCTCTGGTCGGGGAGAGGGGGACAGAGCTCCAAGCTCCTCCTAGGAAAACACAGGAGAGGCGATTTGTGCCCTAACACCCCTCGTGACAGCCCCCATGTGCTGCCCCCTCCCACTGGAGCGACCCCCAAGGCTTGGGGTCACCTTTGTCTTTCAGCTGGGCGCCCCCCCAAGCTTTCCCCGCACACGTGTGGGGTGAGCCCCTCTGCAGGATGGGGTGCAAGCCCAGCCTAAGGCCAAGGCTCTGTGTTTCAGAGTCCCGCCGTCGGACCATCTACGAGTACCACCGCGTGGAGCTGGACACCAGCAGGATCACCAACATGTCAGCCGTGGAGTTCACCCCGCTGCCAAGTAAGTGGGACGGGGTGTCCGGAGCGTGTTCCCTTCCCGTGGCTTCCTCCAGCAACTACGACAGCCTCAGGGGAAACTGAGGCTGGAGGAGACAGACTTGATGGGTGTGTGGATCTTCCTGAGCACCGGAGCCATGGAGGGTGTGCAATCGGCCAGGGCGCAGCGTGCCCCTGCCCTGGGGTGTCCCCCCCATCGTTCTGCCTTTGGGAGAAGGTCTGTGCATGGCTGTTGCTGTGCAGCCCTGTTGGGATTTATCAGCTCAGAGTCAGCCTCAGCCAACAGCAAATCCCACGTGCCTGCCAGCCCGGCTGCTCCGTAGGGAGACGGGAGTCTGGGATGCCGCAACGCTCAGCTCGGGCAGGAGAAGGTGATGCAGGAGGGATGTGCTGTGGTCCCAAGATGCACTCCGTGCTGCTCTGCCAGCACCCTTCCCCGTGTGCAGCTGAGCCGATGGCTCTTCTTGCTTCTGGATCTTGTGGATCTTTTAGATCCCATCTCGCCCCAGAACTCTAATTCCTTATTTCCTGCACTGACAGCTCTTCCCACCTGTCCACCCGCTGAAACTCCTCCTTTTTGCTCCATAAGCTGCAGCTAATTTTGCTGGACGCCGGTTCACTTCAGGTCCGTCTACGAGACATTTTCTACGCCTCCACACTCAGATGAAATTTAAGGATCCTGTTAAACAGATACATTTTTAGTGTCCGGATCCAAGGACACATGCGCACAAGGGAAGAGTCATCACGCAGTCCGTAAATACAGAGCGGAGAGTAAATCTGTCACGGAGATACCAAGGTTATGCATTTAAACGGTCTCCCCGGGGTGTTTTATGACAATTTTAACAGCAGGCAGGGTTACTGCAAAGCAGATCATAAATAAGCATTCTGCAATAATTCTATTTTTTTTCTCCTTAAGACTCTCTATTTTGCTGTTCCCTGGTAGCTCGGGTAGCCAAGAGCAGTATCTTCAGAGGAGCCACAGAGAACTAGACTCCACTTTTTCTTCTGGGGGATTTTAGCCTTATTCAGGTCAGAAGTGGATGAACTGGGTTAGCCTCTGCCTCTTCTCCAGAGGTCCTTGCTTGCTCGCTGCCTCCACGTGGCAGCCTGCTCGGGAAAAGCTCAGGAGGGGAGAGCGGAGGAGATCAGGGCAGCTCAGGTCTGGGGCAGCAGCCGTGGGGAGTTTGCCCAAGGGTGAGGGGCACAATAGGGACCACGGATGGAGAAGTGATGGAGTGTCTGGGTCAGGATGGGGAAGTGCCAGGCGTCCCAGCTGGGATGGGGATGCCTTTCAGGATCCTGTGCACCGATGCAGAGCCTGACCCTCCGGTGTTCTGCCTCCATCACTTGGTATTTCATAGAATCATGGAATGGTTTGGGTTGGGAGGAATCTTAAAGCACCCCCAGTGCCACCCCCTGCCATGGGCAGGGACACCTTCCACTAGACCAGGTTGCTCCAAGCCTCATCCAGCCTGGCCTTGGACACTCCCAGGGATGGGGCATCCACAGCTCCTCTGGGCAACCTGTCCCAGTGCCTCCCCACCCTCTGCGGGAAGAATTCCTTCCTGATGTCCCATCTCCATCTCCCTCTTTCCATTTAAACCCATCACCCCTTGTCCTGTCACTACAGGCCCTTGGGAAAAGTCCTCCCCAGCTTCCTTGTAGCCCCCCCCCAGGCACTGGAAGGGGCTCTAAGGTCTCCCCGGAGCTTCCCTTCTCCAGGCTGAACCCCCCAACTCTGTTCACAGCAGCGGGTCAGCTCTGGGCTCTGTCACTGCAGGCTGTCAGGGACTCCCAAGGGGCTTGTTAAAACTGCTGGTTTCCTGGCCTGTTTTTGCAGACAAGCCCTCTTGGCCGTCTTTCCTAGACAGGGTGACAAGCAACTGATGGTAGTCTACAAGCAGCTGTTCCTCTGCAGTGTGGAGACATTCCTGCAGCACGGACAGAGCAACAGAAGGTTCAACTGTTTGTGTTGCTTCCTTCCTTCTGAGGAGCACCCTCTGTACCACAGGAGATGGCAGAAGACTCGGATGCGTTTTAATTCCCATCTAAACAGAATGGGAAGAGATGTATGGATGGACTGGGAGTCCACCCCTGCTGGAAAGGTGTTGCCTTGTCCGGCAGAGAGGTCAGGCTGGAGACGCATACATTGATACTGGTTCTACCCAGGCCCCCGGCGTTCAGCGCGAGCTCTTCCCGCAGTCGCTGGTACGTCTCTCCTCTCTCTTTTGCAGCTTGTCTCCAGCACCAGAGCTGTGACGTGTGTGTGACCTCAGAGCTGACCTTCAACTGCAGCTGGTGTCACGTCCTGCAGAGGTAGCTGGGAGGAGTTCCCTTCCCACCTCTTCTAATGCTTCTATGGCCGGGAGAGCCAGCGCAACTCCGGGTCTGATGCCGGTATCGGCGCTGCTGTCCTTTTAATTACTATTTTCCTTTTTCTGTGAGTTTTGGGGTGGGGGTTTTTTTGGCTTTTTGGTTTAGTTAGGGTGCTGCTCTCATAGTCTCGCAGCCATGGTTAGCGGTGATCCGATCTCCAGTTACAAGCGATTGAAAGGAGAGGTTTCCTGAGGATGGGATTCTCGGTCCTAACGTTTTGTGGCAGAAGCTGGAACAAGTTGAGGCCGGAAGCAAGATTCACATTTTTCTCAGTGAGATTAAACCTGGGGGAAACTTGCCCTGGCTTAGGCTGTGATTTCGGACAGAAGCGTGGGGCAGGAGGCTGGGACACGCTCCAGTCTGAAGGGCAGCAGGTCGGTCAGAGACCCGGGATTGCACATCAGCCCCCCACTCTGCGGGGACAGGCCCCTCTTTGTCAGGGATGAGGCACAATGCGGGGGCACTTGCTGCTTTTCTTGGGGGTAAACAGAGGATCTGGGGGGGGCTGGCCCTGCTGCGGTGCCAGCCATGCAGCAGCCCTGCTCCGTGCTCTCCTTCAGCTCAAGCAGCACGATACAGAGCATGAGAGGGTTTAATGAGGTTTTGCTGAAATATTTATTTGGAGCTAGCGGCAGGGGAGAGGACCCAATAACACAGATCCTCATACGCGGCACGGGGACAGCTGTGCTTGGGAAATGCCCGGCTCTCCCAGGAAAGCAGGCTGGATGGCCTCCTCCCCAGCTGTCTCCTGCAAGGGCAGCCTTGGCTCGCCCCGGCGTTGCTCCAGGGCACCTTCACTCCTCCTTTCTGTAGCCGGTCTCTCACTATGCTCAAAACTCACCCTTTCCTCACAGGCAGCAATTTCAGCAAGGTATCAGCAGCTGGGACAGGGAAAGATCCTGAGGCATCAGCAAGGCGACCCTATAAATCAGCGTTGATTCACTGCCTTTCCGGGGGCTGGAATACAACCCCAGCCAGGGGAACGTCATTCTTCAATGACAGTTGCTCTGCGGTGGCTTCAGATCAGAGAATATTATGTTCTCGCGGCTGAGAGAGATGCATGAAACCAGATGTGTCTTTGGTAGCAAAACCAAGCCCAGGATACAGTGGTTTAGTCTGGATCTTGTTGGGGCTGAAACCACGGGGTTCAGGAGTCTTGTCGTTCTGCTGATTCCAAATTCACGGGGTTTGCAAGACTTTTCTTCCCAAATCCAAGTTGCCGTTGCTGATGTTTGCTCTTATTGCTTAGATCCCGGCGAGTTCTTCATGCATGGGCTGAAATCCATGCTTCCTGCAGCCGTAAGTGCGTAGCGGCAGCTCGGTCCTGACGAGCTTAGGTTACAAACGGAAAGCGCAAATGGCAAGCCGTGTGGAAACTGCAGGCTAGAGCAAGCCCACCGCTATCTTGTTGGCTTTCAACCACGTTGGTTTTGCAAAGTGTGGTGGTCGAGCCTCAGCTGGCAACTAAGCATCACGCAGCTGCTCGCTTGTGTGTCCCCCCCCCAGCGTGGGATGGGGGAAGAATTGGGTAAAACCTTGTGAGTTGAGGATAAAAACAGTCTAATAGGAGAGCAATGGAAGAGGAAATAACAATACTTATAAAGGAATGTACAAAGGCAGGTGATGCCCATAGCAATTGCTCACCACCCAGTGATGGCTAGCCCATCCCCGAGCAGTGATTCCCACTCTCTGGCCAGCTCCAGTTTTATATACCGAGCGTGATATGGTCTGGAATATCCCTTTGGCCAGGCTGGGTCAGCTGCCCTGGTTGTTGTTTTGGCTGGGATAAGAGTTACTTTGCTTCCTGATGGCCGGTACAGTGCTGTGTTTGGGATCTGTTGTGTCCCTCCTTGCTGTCAGAGCAGGGGAAGCTGCAAAGTCTGTGCCTAAGCTCTACAACTACTTAGCAACAACTAAACCCATCAGTGTGTTATCAGCGTTATTCTCCCAGCAAATCCCAAGCACAGCGCTGTACCGGCCATCAGGAAGCAAATTAACTCTTATCCCAGCCAACACCAGGACCCGATCTTTCCTAAGGAAGCTGTTTCCAGGGTTTGAACTGGCATCCTGAGTCTACCTCAGTGATTCAATCCCGGAGTCCTCTTAGCTCTCGTCGTGACAGTGAAGTTTGTATTTTTGCTTTTGCCGAGCCCATAATTGTTACAGGAACTGTACTTTAGGCGAAGTGACTCAGCAGGACCTGAAGTTCTTTGTGGCTTCTCCTCTTTTATTGGTCGGTAGTTGGGTAAATTGGTGCTTGGAGGAGCTGAACCCCTGATTCATATATTTTTCTGGTAGTCCCCGGAGACTTCCCAAAGGTCAGAGCATTATTTCATTCCCTGTTTCTGTAGAGATTTCTCTAGTTGGTGTTTTCTTGATGTAGTTTTTAATTTCTTGAATGTGTTTTTCATGTGCAGATGTTGCTGGGAAAAAAGACCTCAAAACCCATCACCAAAAACAAACCCTCATGGAGATCATGGCCTTGCCCTGGCACAGAGTCCAGGGAGTGGAAATTCAAACTCAGTCTATATATTTTTTTCCTATTTCTCCGCTTCTCTGTTTCCCTTGGTGAAGTGGTGTTGACCCTTTTCCGCCTCTGTGCAGAGGAACATTTGTGTCCTTCCAGCACAGCTGTCCTGGAAACCCCGTGTCTTTAGAGACCAACTTGGATGTATCGTCTTTCCAGTCCTCAGATACTTGTTGGGCCAAGTATCTGCACACAGCGCTCACCGGGGCAGCGTGTGGGACTTGGCGGCTTCCAAATCCCAGAGAGCGGGGGCAAACCAGCCTCACTGTTGCCGTGTCTCTCCAGAATCTATGGGTTAATGCTGCTTTTCTCCCCAGATGTTCCAGCGGCTTTGACCGATACCGGGAGGAGTGGCTGTCCTATGGCTGTGGGCAGAAGGTGAGGCTGAGGGGAGAATCACTTTGCTTGGGTCCTCTGCTAGGAATCACGCTGAACTGCAGGAAAAAACCCCAACAGCCATATCCCAGCTCAAAACACCATCACTCTCAGCTCCATGTGGGCCATGCTCTTCTGGGACAGACTGGATAGCCCTTTCCTGTTACAGCAGGACCATTGATCCACAGAGGATGTCTCGATTGGAATGGTTAGAAGAGGGTCCATCTAACCCAGCCTTACCCATCTTTGCCTCACTGGTGTCTTGGTTCTGTGTTGGTCGGTGATGGATGTTGGACTCGTTGGAGCAAGTCCAGAGGAGGCCACGGACGTGCTCCGAGGGCTGGAGCCCCTCTGCCCTGGGGACAGGCTGGGGGGTTCAGCCTGGAGAAGGGAAGCTCCAGGGAGACCTTAGAGCTCCTTCCAGTGCCTGGGGGGCTACAAGGAAGCTGGGGGGGACTTTTTACAAGCGCAGGGAGTGACAGGACAAGGGGTAATGGGTTTAAATTGAAAGTGGGAAGGTTGAGATTAGATATCGGGAAGAAATCCTTCCCAGAGAGGGTGGGGAGGCACTGGGACAGGTTGCCCAGAGAAGCTGTGGATGCCCCATCCCTGGAAGTGTCCAAGGCCAGGCTGGATGAGGCTTGGAGCAACCTGGTCTAGTGGAGGGTGTCCCTGCCCATGGCAGGGGGGTTGGAACTGGATGGTCCCTGCCACCCCAAACCATTCTGTGATTCTATGTTCAGCTAAGACACAGAGACCTCCCTGTGTTACCAAATTGTGCAATTTGAGTAGGACTGGGATGTTTTTTTTTTCTTCACCTTCTGAAGCATGACTCTTACTCACTCTCAAACATGAAGAAATTAGCCCTTGTGATTTTTTTTTTTTTTTTTTGGTCACTGTGAGCACAATTATCTCCCCATTGGATGAACTAGTTTCTTTGTCTCAAAGATCAGCTCTAAGGAAACATCTGTTTCTGCTTTGGGGTTTTGTTTTGGGGTTGTTTTTGTTGCTTTTTTTTTTCCCCCAATGAAAACTCAGCTTTGTTCCCCGTTAACCAAGAGGGTTGAGTGAGGGAAAAGGAGGTCACTGGCCCTGCGTAAGGTCATCCAGTGATGCCAGAAGGTCAGGCTGTAGGACCTTGCCAGATCATTGGCATTTGTCCCGCTTAAGTGGTTCCTAAGCTTTCCTTTCTCTTCTCCAACCTCCAGGTCAGCCCCACACATACTTCTCCTGGCACCTCTGGACTATGTCCCCTGCTTCCGCGCTGCTGTTTGAACCCCAAGGGCTTGGCATCCCTGAGCCTGGGAAGCACAGTCCTCACCACTGGCTCCCTGCCCTTCTTGCTGGAGGAGACCTGGGAAAAGCCGCTATTCTCTGTTTTCTTTCCAGTCAGATGAGAAGACCTGTGAGGATTTAGCCGAAGGCAACCACTACTCAGCACCTCCGGACAGCTCTTCCTCGCCGCTGGCTGGGGATGTCACCACCTCCACGTCCTCGCTCTTCATTGACAGCCTCACTACGGAAGGTAGGGACAGGGACACCCATCCTCCACACCTATCCCTGGAGAGACCTGTCACTCCGACACCTCGAAAAGCCAATTTATATCCAGATAAATACAGCAACCAACCTGTCTCTGATGCAAAAAGGTGGGGGTGGGTGCAGAGGGCAGTGTGAGGGAGAAGAAGGAGAAATCTGAGGTAAGACTTGGAGTGATGTGGCAAAGGGGAGAGATGGAACCCTCCAATGGGAAGAGTTTTACTGTTGCTTCGCAGCCTTTTTACACATTTATGAAGGTCAATAAGCAACTCGTCCCTGCAGACAGACGCCCCCCCAGCATCAATCACTGAGGTTAATCCTATATACAGGGACTCGTGCTTTTAGTGTCCTCGCTGGCGACTCAGGTTGTCGGCACTCTCCGACGGGCAGTAATGCAGCAGAGGCTTGTGACTGCCCTCAGAGTTCGTTCCAGCACAGGAAACCTCCACGGAAGGAGCAGAGTTTCCCTCGAGACACCCATGTTCTACAGCTTGATAATCCTATTAAGACAGGGCTGGCTCCTCCGATCCTAGCGGCAGGTATCGCTTCAATTTTGCTGCTTAATAGTCCCTAACGCAAACTGCTAATTAGAATAAATAGAAAGGAACATTAGTAATTGTCCTTCAGCTACGGGAAGGAGTTGGGGGGAGGAACAGAGCGCCTGGCTGCCGGAGTTGACTTTGAAAGGAGCAATTAAAGGAAGAGGGGAGTGTAACACCACCACAGAGATTATTTTCCAACTCATCGCCAATTCTTGGAAAATGAACAAGAGGCTTTCTGTGACACAGTCAAGCATGAACTTAATTTGTGCTCTTGGAAGGAAACAAACAAGCCAGCTGCATCAGGCAGCGAACTTGATCTGGAGAAGCCCAGCAAAGGAAGAAGCAAAGCAAAGGAGTGGGCCCACCCCTCTGGGCACCCCCCCACCTCCCAGCCGGCCCAGCTCTGCTCACGGAGATGTTTGTGAACGTGGCCGGCTCGCTGGTCGCGTGTCAACGCCACAGCTAGCAAACGCGTGCGCCAAGAAGTAAGATTCCAGGATCAGGGTTCCAGCTGGACTCACGAGGGTGGTGACCTGGAGACTGTCCAGACGTGAAGCCTTGTACAATATATCCTGGGCCTTCAAGAATGAGATGACAGACAGAATTGGATTTTGGGCCCGCGTGGAACAGCGTAACATCCGGCTGAGTTATCCGGGGTTGCATTAGCAGCGTATGGCTGCGAGTGCCGGAGTCTGAACACCGACACACACGGGGCTGGGGCCCCCACCGGCACTCCCCATGCTGCTTTGCTCACCGAGCATGGTTAAAGACCGGTGTCCTCGGGCATCTGCGCTCCAGGTGCCACCTTGGTGAAGGAACATGCTTTCCCTGTTGTTGTTTTCTGGGAGCCTTCCTTTTCCATCAAACTCAGAGGTTTAAAACAGTCACTGGCCACGTAAATGCTGCGCAAAGGGGTTGTTCTGTCGGTGGGCCCATTACAGTGGGGTGAGGATGGGTGGGAAGCCTGCAGAATATCCTAGAAGGCTCCTAACACTTTTTTTTTTTTGTCTTTTTCGGTTTTTTAGATGATACGAAGCTCAATCAGTATGCTGGCAGCGAAGGTAAGCCCTTAATCTCCTCTTTGCCTGCTCACAGTCATTCCAAGGGAAAACATGTTACGCTGAAATCAAACACAGCGGGGGAGTTGGGATCCGCAGAGGGTGAAACTGAGATTGGAAGGATGGCACGGAGATAAGACTCCTGGTGTCCTTCCCCCATTAATACCATCTCAGGTAGTGAAAAGAGGGAGTCGTGACTGATCTGTTTTACCCTGCTGCTGTTTCTCTGCTTTTCCCACTTAGTCCTGCTGTGTGCACTGAGACGATGCATTTTCTCTTTGCTGTCATTCCCTTTCTTTGCAGTTTTTGTATAGACACAAAGTTGGAAAGGACCTTAAAGCCTAGCCAGCCCTACCCCCTGCCATGGGCAGGGACCCCTTCCACTAGACCAGGTTGCTCCAAGCCTCATCCAGCCTGGCCTTGGACACTCCCAGGGATGGGGCATCCACAGCTTCTCTGGATAACCTGTCCCAGTGCTCCCCACCCTCTCCAGGAAGCAGCTTTTACCCGAAAGCAGCTCATGGAAGTTAAACTGGCTGAACTGGGGGCAGGATCAGTTCCTTTGCAGACACGAGGCCTTTGAAATGTATGATCTTCCCAGTTTCAGCCAAATTGCTCCCCACATGGCTGGTAGTGTCACTGTTAATATATGCCACGTCCACCCTCCGCAGCTCCCCGCTACAGCCGAGGAGCAAGGGCTGTGGGTGGGATGCTGAGGGCCCCACTCAGCATATGGCTAATGGCTTTCTGTTGGAGTGAGCAGCCAATCCATAAAAACTGCGGATGGGAGAGGGGATTACTGCATGGCAGTGGTTTAATCTTCTTTCAAACCAGCTACTGGTACCATCTGAAAGGGATGGAGCTCAGACAACAACTCTCTAGTGCATCTTGCTGAGCCAGACAGTAGCAGGCCAAGCCGCTCGGTCTTAGAAAGGTCTTGCCTTGCTTTTCTTTTCTGTCCTTTCCTTTACTGGGGTCTTGGCACCATTCGAGACTCCACTGAATCCCTTTTTTTGCAGGGGTGGGAAGCAGCCTGCCTTCCAAGAAAGCAGGTGCCCCGATTCACCCGGGTACCATCGTGGGGATCGTTCTGGCTGTCCTGCTCGTTGCGGTTATTATCCTTGCTGGAATTTACATCAACAGCCATCCCACCTCCAATGCCGCCCTCTTCTTCATTGAGGTGAGTGGAGAACCTCACCCCTGGCTGGTTTCCTCTTCCTCTGCTATCAACACAAATCCCAACCTTCTAGAGAAGACCAGGGAGCGCAACCTTGATGGAGCTGATATCTGAGTTCCTTTTCATGGTGCCGCAGTCACAGCTAATCTCCCAACCTCCAGCTGATGATGTTTTAAACTTAGGCTCGCTCCCTCCCACACTGTTTTATTTTGCTCCCTTTCACATGCTCCCTTTCGCACGTTGCCTTTTTCTTTTTTTTTTGCTCCCCGTGCACCGTGAAGGCTCTTCCACCTGCCTGCGGGAGCGGGGGACATGCAGCCGGGTTGGAGGGCTCGGTTGGAGCTGTGACATAACCGAATTGCTGCCTTTTGAATTGCCCAGCTGGATTTTTGTGACTAAAATTGTCGGCCTTTGCTGATAGATGCTGTGACATCCGCCACTGTGAACGCTCTAAACCTGGGATTTTAATCCTCATAAAGATTGGGGGGGTCCAACGATTTCCATCTGCTGTTAAAAGCCACAAGACCGCTTGCTGTAGCATCCCGAGGCAGTCAGCAGTGGGCTGAATCCTGGCACCGGAGCCGCTGCGGAGGGAGCGAGTGACACTTAGCCCTCAGCCTTTCCTAGAGCACTTGTCTTCCCTCCATCTGTCCTGTTTGCAGCGACAGGCTTCGGAGAACTGATCCACGTGGCCTCTCCCAGCTCAGTACCTGAGCAGGTGGCAGCGCTGGATGCGTCTGTCTTCACCCGGCTGCGAAGGGGCGACGCACGCAGCCCCTCTTTGGCAGATAGAGAGGAGACAGAGCTGATGTGTACGTGGCGGCTCAGGAAGCCGTTCCAACTGCTCCCCGTTTTAACCTTATCAGCGGGTGAGCTCAGTGAGGTTTATGCGTTGCAATGAAGTTTTAAAAAAAATCACTTCATACTTTAAAAAGTTCACTCTTAATAAAGTCAAACTCCCTCAAAGACCAGCATTATTCTTGTTTCAGGCCCGAGGTCCCAATTTCCCTGCGGGCTTGGCTTGAAAGGCTCTGTCACAGCTTCTGATGGGTCTTTGTTTCTGTCCCCAGCGAAGGCCACATCACTGGCCTGCCATGAAATTCCGAAATCACACCAACCATGCAACGTACTCGGAGGTGGAGCCGGCCAGCCAGGAGAAGGAGGGCTTTGTCGAAGCAGAACAGTGCTGAGTGCTTCTCCCCCTGCATCTCGAGCTTCCCATGTCTCAAGTGTTGGAGTCTTCTGTTATTCTATTGCAAAGTCTTTCCCCTCTTGGAAAAGAAACAGCAAGTAGAGGAAAAAGACCCAATGGAGCATTTGGAAGGAGTGAGTCAGGGCAGTGGGAAGCCGGGACTCGCCTGGATCCCTCAGGGGATGGCGGAGTGGTGGCAGTCAGCTGTGACATCAGGCTCTGCCGGCAGCCAGGCACCGAAGCCCTGGACGTGGCACTACAAAAAAAAAAAAAGTGCAAAGCTTTACCTTAGCGTGGGGGTTTTTGTTTTGTGATTGGGTTTTTCCCCCTCTGTGTCAACAAAGCGGGGGCAAATCTCGGTACAGGAAACATATGCAGTTGCCTCGAGCAGCAGGCTCTTGGGGACAGAAATCCAGGCGATTTTTGCTGTAGACTGGCTCTGCCTGCACCCAGAAAAGTTGGGCTGGTTGCCTCTTCCCCTCTCCACGGAGAGGCTGGGTGTTGGGGTGGCCCAGGAGAGGTAAGGTTGGCTCTCCAGGGCTCACCTCCCCTCTCCCATCCCCTTTCCACCAGCTCTGTCCCTTTCCCCGCTCTCCTCTTCACTTTCTTTTGGGGTGGGTGACATTTGTCTTTGTAGCTGAGAAGCCTTGTGCCCTTATCTTTTCATCCTGCAGCTGGTCTTCCACCACCAAGGCTTCAACTCCCTGCCCTCCTCTCCCTTCCCAGCAACAGCTTCCATCCCCTGCTCCAGAGAAAGGGAGACCTCATCTATTTTAAGGGCAAAACCCTGTGGAGAATTTACCTTCAGGATGTCTGTGAGCCAATAGTTCTGATGTGCTTTTTGGCATCTAATTAGTTTGCTAAATTGCTGCCTACGACCCTTACCCCAAAGGAGACAGAGCGTGAAACAAAAACCTCTGAGTCCATCAAAGTACGGCCTCGTGGCGTGGCCGCTAATCCAGCGGGAACAGAATAGGTTTTTGGAAGGGGATGGGGACAGAGCACTAGTGAAGCAGTGTCCTCCCACAGGTTAAATCCTGAACTAAATCCAAGCATTTCACATAAATAAAGAGGGAAGGCGCACGTGCCTTGGTACCACTGAAGATCTAAAAACTCATCTTGTTGACGTCATGGTTTTTAGAGCCTATTGGAGTCAGTGGAATTTTTTCTATTTTTTGTTGTTTCATGAGGCCCTTGGCCTGGATTTGTACCTATATCATGATTCCAGAATCTGACCCTAACTAAGGGCTTTGACACCAGATCTTCTCAGGGTTTTCTACTCCTTCCATGCAATCACAGTTCAAGACTAATCTCAGAAACGCCCTATCCTGCTTCCACAGACACCAGCCGCAGGATTGGGCCCTAAACTGAGGGAAGCTTGTATTAAAAAATGAGAGACTCCAAAGTCCAGTGTGAGGTAAAGTTTTCCTTCCCCCTCCAAAAAAGGTGTTGCTTGTATGGGGTTTTATTTCCCTTTTTTCCCATTTTCTCTTGATCCTCATTTACTTATTCTGATAATCATGTTCAATGCATATTTTATCCACGGGCTGGTTCAGCTGTCACTGCTGGTGATTACTGCCAAAGGCAGGGTCTGTCTAATTAATGTTTTCCTTCTCATCTGCTGAATTTATATTGCCATTAAAGATAAATATGGATGCTTTGTGGCATTTAGACCCCAGATTATACTTTCTCATCCACAGTCACCAGGGAGAACTTTGCTGCATCTTATTATGGCATAAAGGCACCAAAATGCTCAGAGAGGGTGTCAGAGTCGTGCCAAGTTGTTATGGCCCAGACGGTCTCTCTTTAGACATATTTTAAGATATATAAAGATATATAAAGATATATCATACTTTAAGATCTTTAAGGTCCCTTCCAACCCTAACCATTCTATGATTCTATATTTTGAAGATAAACTTGATTCCCAAATAAAGCTTTCAACTGGAAGGTTGGGGTTTTTTTCCCTGAAGTAGAAAGAATTCCAAGGGATGCTGTCACCTAGTTTTTGCCCAGGATCTGATCTCCTTTGAAATGGTTATGAGCCAGTAAGGAATTTTCTCCAGATTTCACTCTTTTCAAAGAATGGCCTTGTTTTTACTGTTTTTCTGAACATGCCTACACAGTAACAGCAAGATTTTGTGTACTCCTCTTCCCCTACAACCCCTAGAAATGCTAGGTAACATCCAAGAGTTCTGAAATACTGTGATTTTAAAAGAAAACAGGCTTCAAAGAGCGTGCAATTGAGCTGTACAAATCACTGGTGC